TTCATATGTCCAGTAGCAGCTGCTTTATATGTCCAGTAGCAGCTGCTTTATATGTCCAGTAGCAGCTGCTTTATATGTCCAGTAGCAGCTGTTTTATATGTCCAGTAGCAGCTGTTGTTTCATATGTCCAGTAGCAGCTGCTTTATATGTCCAGTAGCAGCTGCTTTATATGTCCAGTAGCAGCTGTTGTTTCATATGTCCAGTAGCAGCTGCTTTATATGTCCAGTAGCAGCTGCTTTATATGTCCAGTAGCAGCTGCTTTATATGTCCAGTAGCAGCTGTTTTATATGTCCAGTAGCAGCTGTTGTTTCATGTGTCCAGTAGCAGCTGCTTTATATGTCCAGTAGCAGCTGCTTTGTATGTCCAGTAGCAGCTGTTTCATATGTCCAGTAGCAGCTGCTTTATATGTCCAGTAGCAGCTGCTTTATATGTCCAGTAGCAGCTGCTTTATATGTCCAGTAGCAGCTGTTGTTTCATATGTCCAGTAGCAGCTGCTTTATATGTCCAGTAGCAGCTGCTTTATATGTCCAGTAGCAGCTGCTTTATATGTCCAGTAGCAGCTGTTGTTTCATATGTCCAGTAGCAGCTGCTTTGTATGTCCAGTAGCAGCTGTTTTATATGTCCAGTAGCAGCTGTTGTTTCATATGTCCAGTAGCAGCTGCTTTATATGTCCAGTAGCAGCTGCTTTATATGTCCAGTAGCAGCTGCTTTATATGTCCAGTAGCAGCTGCTTTATATGTCCAGTAGCAGCTGTTTTATATGTCCAGTAGCAGCTGCTTTATATGTCCAGTAGCAGCTGTTTCATATGTCCAGTAGCAGCTGCTTTATATGTCCAGTAGCAGCTGCTTTATATGTCCAGTAGCAGCTGTTTTATATGTCCAGTAGCAGCTGTTGTTTCATATGTCCAGTAGCAGCTGCTTTATATGTCCAGTAGCAGCTGCTTTTTATGTCCAGTAGCAGCTGCTTTATATGTCCAGTAGCAGCTGCTATATATGTCCAGTAGCAGCTGTTTTATATGTCCAGTAGCAGCTGTTGTTTCATATGTCCAGTAGCAGCTGCTTTTTATGTCCAGTAGCAGCTGTTTCATATGTCCAGTAGCAGCTGTTTTATATGTCCAGTAGCACTGTTTTATATGTCTAGTAGCAGCTGTTTTATATGTCCAGTGGCAGCTGTTGTTTCATATGTCCAGTAGCAGCTGTTTTATATGTCCAGTAGCAGCTGTTTCATATGTCCAGTAGCAGCTGTTGTTTCATATGTCCAGTAGCAGCTGTTTTATATGTCCAGTAGCAGCTGTTTCATATGTCCAGTAGCAGATGTTGTTTCATATGTCCAGTAGCAGCTGTTTTATATGTCCAGTAGCAGCTGTTTCATATGTCCAGTAGCAGCTGTTGTTTCATATGTCCAGTAGCAGCTGCTTTATATGTCCAGTAGCAGCTGCTTTATATGTCCAGTAGCAGCTGTTTCATATGTCCAGTAGCAGCTGCTTTATATGTCCAGTAGCAGCTGTTTTATATGTCCAGTAGCAGCTGCTTTATATGTCCAGTAGCAGCTGTTTCATATGTCCAGTAGCAGCTGCTTTATATGTCCAGTAGCAGCTGCTTTATATGTCCAGTAGCAGCTGTTTTATATGTCCAGTAGCAGCTGTTGTTTCATATGTCCAGTAGCAGCTGCTTTATATGTCCAGTAGCAGCTGCTTTTTATGTCCAGTAGCAGCTGCTTTATATGTCCAGTAGCAGCTGCTTTATATGTCCAGTAGCAGCTGTTTTATATGTCCAGTAGCAGCTGTTGTTTCATATGTCCAGTAGCAGCTGCTTTTTATGTCCAGTAGCAGCTGTTTCATATGTCCAGTAGCAACTGTTTTATATGTCCAGTAGCACTGTTTTATATGTCTAGTAGCAGCTGTTTTATATGTCCAGTGGCAGCTGTTGTTTCATATGTCCAGTAGCAGCTGTTTTATATGTCCAGTAGCAGCTGTTTCATATGTCCAGTAGCAGCTGTTGTTTCATATGTCCAGTAGCAGCTGTTTTATATGTCCAGTAGCAGCTGTTTCATATGTCCAGTAGCAGCTGTTGTTTCATATGTCCAGTAGCAGCTGCTTTATATGTCCAGTAGCAGCTGGTTTATATGTCCAGTAGCAGCTGTTTCATATGTCCAGTAGCAGCTGTTGTTTCATATGTCCAGTAGCAGCTGCTTTATATGTCCAGTAGGAGCTGATTCATATGTCCAGTAGGAGCTGATTCATATGTCCAGTAGCAGCTGTTGTTTCATATGTCCAGTAGCAGCTGCTTTATATGTCCAGTAGCAGCTGCTTTATATGTTCAGTAGCAGCTGTTGTTTCATATGTCCAGTAGCAGCTGCTTTATATGTCCAGTAGCAGCTGTTTTATATGTCCTACCTACCTGGAGGGTATTCCGGGGATCAACGCCCCCGCGACCCGGTCCATGACCAGGCCTCCTGGTGGATCAGGGCCTGATCAACGAGGCTGTTACTGCTGGCCGCACGTAGTCCAACGTACGAACCACAGCCTGGCTGATCCGGCACTGACTTTAGGTATCTGTCCAGCTCCCTCTTGAAGACAACCAGGGGTCTATTGGTAATTCCTCTTATGGCTGGTGGGAAACTGTTGAACAGTCTTGGGCCCCGGACACTTATTGTATTGTCTCTTAGTGTACCAGTGACGCCCTTACTTTTCACTGGGGGTATGTTGCATCGTCTGCCAAGTCTTTTGCTTTCATAGGGAGTGATTTCTGTGTGCAGATTAGGGACTAGTCCCTCCAGGATCTTCCAGGTGTAGATTATGATGTATCTCTCTCGCCTGCGCTCCAGTGAGTACAAGTCAAGTGTTTCCAAGAGTTCCCAGTAGTTAAGGTGTTTGATAGAACTTATACGCGCAGTAAAGGTTCTCTGTACTTTCTTTAGATCTGCAATTTCACCTGCCTTGAATGGAGATGTTAATATACAGCAGTATTCCAGCCTAGAGAACAAGTGATTAAAATATTCCAGCCTAGAGAACAAGTGATTAAAAAGAATCATCATCGGCTTGGCATCTCTTGTCTTGAATGTGCTCATTCATTATCCATCCTATCAGTTTCCTCGCAGATGTGATAGTGGCATTGTTGTGGTCCTTGAAGGTAAGATCCTCAGACATTACCACTCCCAGGTCCTTCACATTACTTTTCCTCTCTATTGTGTGATTGGAGTTTGTAGTATACTCAGTCCTAGTTATTATTTCCTCCAGTTTTCCTTAACGAAGTAGTTGGAATTTGTCTTCACTGAACATCATATTGTTCTCCGTTGCACATTGGAAAACTTGGTTTATATCTTCTTGGAGATTTGCCGTGTCCTCAATGGATGACACTCTCATGCAGATCCTAGTATCGTCTGCAAAGGATGATTCGGTGCTATGGTTTACATCTCTGTCTATGTCTAATATGAGGATGAGGAGCAGGATAGGGGCGAGTACTGTGCCTTGTGGACCAGAGCTCTTCACTATGGTAGCTTCCGATTTAACTGTTTACCACTACTCTTTGTGTTCGATTTGTTAGAAAGTTGAAGATCCATCTGCCTACTTTTCCGGTTATCCCTTTAGCACGCATTTTGTGTTCTATTACACCATGATCGCTCTCGTCAAAGGTTTTTGCAGAATCTGTGTAAACTACATCTGCATTCTATTTGTTTTCCAGTGCATCCAAGACCATATCGTAGTGGTCCAGTAGTTGAGAGAGGCAGGAGCGACCTGTTCCAAACCCATGTTGCCCTGGATTGTGCAATTGTTGGAGCCCAAGTGGTTTGCAATCCTGCTTCTTAGAACTCTTTGAAAGATTTTTATGATGTGGGATGCTAAAACTATTGGTCTATAGTTCTTAGCTATTGCTTTGCTGCTACCATTATGGAGTGGGGCTATATCCGTTGTTTTTAGTGACTGTGGAATCTCACCTGTGTCTATGCTCCTTCTCCACAGTAGAAGCTGTGTCATATGTCCAGTAGGAAGTGTTTCATATGTCCAGTAGGAACTGCTTCGTGTATTGGCGTATGTAAGCATGTCTTACATAAGCCAGTAGGCCTGCACCTTGCATTATTCATATACTTTTAAAGTTTTGTTCATTGCCCGAGTCCCTCTATATTAACTCATACATGGAGGTAACATCACGTGATGCTAAGCTAAAACACACAGTTCCCGAGTTACGAACGTCTGATTTGTGATAAATTGTACTTACGGCCAAGGTCCATATAGTAACACTCCTTTAGTTTCGAACAAGAGGGTATATGAACGAGGTCCATAAAATATTCTTCCTGAGTTACGAACGACGATACTTAAGCCCTAGGTCCACCAAAAATGTGTATATTATAAAAAAAAATACTTTACGAACGCCTATCAGTTAACCAATAGGGAGGGAGTTACAGCATTTGTATCTGGGCGGGCACTCCCACTCATGACCTAATTTTATAACGACCCGTGATTTATAAATTGGTTTCCTGTTACAGGTTTAACACACTGACTCTGAACCCATGAAAGTGAAAGTTATTCTGGTTGGGCCGTGATTCGCGTGTTCAGTGGGTTTTTTTTATTGACTCTTGTTTGAATGCCACTGGTGCAACGCCACTGGTAAAAAAGTGATTGAAATTGTATGGAAAAAACAGAAAGACTGGTGGTTGTCGTTACTTCAGGTCGTGTGGACAGTGACAAGAATTGTAAGAGCGGAAAGTGTGTTGTGGGCCGCAGACATTGTTGGTAGAAGCTGCCCCATGTACTTCTGAGTGTGGTAGTGGTGGAGTGTTGTCAATGGTAGTGGTGGTAGTCGTCACTCCGTCCAGTTAAAACATCGCTTATCTAACAGCATTTGTAGGGAGAGACCTGACTCTACCTGCTTTTCACTACTGCTGGCTCGCCTGTTCCACCTTCAAGAAGGGACCTGACATCACCTGTAGTAAAGGACCTAACAGTATCCTAACAACACCTGCAGGTGCGTAGGTTACGAGCCCTTGACACAGGTGGCATCACTTAGGCCAGACAAAACACTCACATTCAGGTGCCTGGGAGCAGGTGACCGAGTCATGCCCGTGTAGCTATGGACGCCCACGGGAGTTTACCTGGGGAGGAGGTGGTGCTGCTAACCTGCAGGGTACCCCATACCCTACGCGGGCGGTGCTGGTGGTGGGTGGGGGGGCGGGTGTTCGTGGTCGCCACCCACAGCGGGGTGTGTACAGGGCTCTCTCTGGCGTCACCTTCCAGGACTTGGATATCTACCTGCGTCAGGAGTCGTCGTGTAACGAGACGCTGCTGGTGACGGAGGAGGACGAGGGACTGGACTCTCTGGAGAGCCACGCTCATACCCTCACGCCCTCGCCTGACCCCGCCCAGCGTGGGATGGGCGTCGGCGACCAGGCTGGTCATGCAGAGGGCGGGTACTTCAGCCTGGAAAGATGCCTGAGTGATGAAGACGCAGCTCACTTACAAGACTCGCTGGAAAATTTAAGACATCGACCCCCACCCCCGCCCGTAGTACCGCACCACCACCCACACCCGCCCACAGTACAACACCACCACCCACTGCCGCCCAACTACTCACACCCATATACTTCCTATCAACACCATAAGGTGCCAGACCAAGGCTATAGACCCATGGCCACCTATGTTAACCCAGGCTTCCAGCAGCAACATACCTACGTGGCCCCTCATCAGTGTTGTGAGTACCCAGCAGGAGACCAGGACTATCTCGCCGTGGGCAGGAACTATCCAACCAGCTGTAGTCAGTATCCATCCAAAGAAGACTATTCGCATAGCGTTGTATATCCACAAAGAGATAATTATCATGCAGTGGAGGATACAATGTGTAGGATTGTCTACGATCGTCAGGTAAGAGACGTTTATCCTGCACATGCATCCTACCCACCTAGGGAAACTTACCCTCAGAAAACAGGGTATTTGTACCCCGAGTACCCACACAGGGGCCACCCGTCATGCATAGCTCAAGAGACCGCAGAGAAAGAGGAAGAAGCCGCACGAAAAGCAAGTGTCCTCAGTGCTGATTCCTTGGAGGATCTTCCTCTGAGTCCGATCTCTCCGGTCTCCCCTCCGCCGCCGGTCGAAGGCCGCAGGATCTGTTGTTACAAAGACTCTTTGGAGGACGTGCGGCCGCGCCTTGTGAGTGAACTCAGGCAATTCTTCGAGCGCCGGAAGTCCACTACAAGCAACAGCAGCCCAGAATCTGAGAGCCTCCAGGAAAGTAGAGCAGAAGAGGAGGAGGAGGAAACTAAAGACTCAGATGATCAACAGAAGAAAGATTGTAAGGAAGTTCAAGTGGACCTCGGTAGCTCTGTCAACACCGACAAGAACACTTCTGAAAGTAGCGGTACAACAGATGAACCAAGTTCTGCTGAGGAAGACGAGGTTGCATCAGCACAGGAATCCTCTTCGGAAGACCCAACGAAAGGTTTATATGAGGAAGAGAGTGATGCTACGTCACCTGTGGTCAAACCTGGTGTGGGAGACGTGGCCTTCCTGAGGGCCACTATAGACACTCCTCAGGCGCTTCTGACTTCAACCAGACTTGTGCAGGCTACTCTTAAACCTGCCGCCAAGGCAACCACTTTCTTTATTAGTTTAGGGAGCAAGTTCAAAGTTCCAGACTTCGAAACTTCAAAGTTAGAGTCAAAAGAAAACAAAATGGTAGTAAAAACCGAGATCAAAGAAACCTCGCCATGTTCTTCGAGTGATAAAGATTCAAACGAGACCACAGAAGAAGAAATATTATATTACACAGACTCCAGTGACCCGGCAGACTACCAGGAGTCACGGTTAATTCTTCGTCACTTCGTCTCCAATTGGGAGAGCGAATCACCTCCTCCCGACAACGATTCTGACATTGACGAATTCTTCTTGGTGCTCGATTCCACAGGCGGAAGGGGTAACTTTTCCTTCCCATCGGGAAGTTCTTCAATGATATCTTCACTGGGCAGTTCTTTGTCCGACCAAAAGTCTGATACTAACCATTCCAACGACCAAGACTCTTACGACGATGGGAACTTGGCCGACATTGGCGAGCCAGATACTACGTCTAGCTCAGGACTGAGTCCGGTTCTGGAATCTACTACTGACGAGAGTTCGCCGCAGACGCCAGACGTGTTAGACCCACCTGAGGAGAAGGATAGCTTCTTGGACACTCCTCCCCACAAAGTTATTGTGAAGCCTTTTTTAGGATTAGGTAAGGGCAGTGCTCGCGAGTCTCACGCGAGTGCTGTCCTGAGTAATCAGTACTCACATCTGCGTTCCCAGACGCGACTCTTGTCCACTAAGGAGGAGCCTCGCGCCAGGTACACACCTGAGACCATCACTTCCACCATCATCTGTGGCAGTGATGACCACCGCTGTCGTCTTAGTCACGGCATCAACAATATTAACTCATTACTCACCCCAGAAGTTACTAACCTGCCTGCAGCAGCTGCTTGTAACTTAGTGTGGGTGTCCTCTCCGTCCAGTGAGAATGAGGCGTCCAGTGAGACCCTCCACTGTCCAGATGATGTCACATCAGTAAGCTCCAGGGACACTTTGTGCTCCCATGACATGAGTGTCAGCGTAGCTTCCGATATGAGTGTGTCAGGGGTAGTCATCAAGCAAAATGATGATGTGGGGCAGATATCGGGCGTGAGTGCGGCTGAGTGTATTCAGCGAGGCAGTTCACACCCGTTGGGCAATTACGCAAATCCACAGTATAAATGTGAAAATGAGGTCGCAGGTGTCAGTCGGTGGAGTAGTGTCGGTGGAGCCACAACCTCTGCTGCTGACCCAAGTTTGGCTGCCCTCACCCCAGCTCTCTCCACTTTCGATTTCACTTCCGAGGCCCAACTTAGCCCTGACCTTGAAGCACTGGCCACTCTGATAGCTGAGCGCATTATGAATGGCACCTTGCCAGTGACCACTGTCGGTGAGAGTGACTCAGGAGGACACGGAACTTTGCAGATCAGCAGTGCCAGCCAGAGTGTCTTCGAAGGACATGGCATCATTCCCAAGAGCAGTGAGAGCGGCTTTGGTGGTGCCCACACTGTTGTTAGCAACCGTGGCATGACTAGGTCAGTTGGTATCAGTGGCAGCCACAGCTCTGACCAGCCGCCCCGTCACTTACAGACTCACCCTTGTACAACCACCGCTTACACTTGTGCTGCTGCTGCAAGTACTAGTGAAAGTGAATCCACCGCCGCTTCCACCACCAGTATGAGCAGTGAAGTGTCCGAGAGCAGTAGGAACAGGCGAGGAGAGGCAGTGTGTCGCACCGCTGTAGGTAAGAGTGCCCTTAACACGTGCCAGGAAAACGATAACATGAATAATCTTACGAGTGATGTAAACACGTCTGATAGTTCCAGTTATGCACACACGTATCTTGAAAACGATATAAGAAATCTTGCTAGTAATGTGAATCCGTGTAGTCTTATGAATGTGAATACGTACATGGAAAATGACGCCACAAGAATGAGTACGCAACGTGAGTACGACACTACGTATGTTAATACGAGGGATGCGAACACGAACCATGAATACAACACGCATGATCAAACGAGTGATGTATTGAGCAGTGACAGGCTGAACCAGTCTGATAACTGTGAGCAAAAACAACGTGTCTTCTCTGAAACATCCAAGCACCCTACCAACGCTCAGGAAACACTTGTAATTGTTAGTGAACACCTGTCTGATGTATCACGTCATCCCTCCACTACTGAACACCTGTCTGATGTATCACGTCATCCCTCCACTACTGAACACCTGTCTGATGTATCACGTCAGTCCTCCACTACTGAACACCTGTCTGATGTGTCACGTCAGCTCTCCACTACTGAACAACCGTATGATTTATCACGTCAGTCCTCGACTACATCTGAACACACGTCTGATGTGTCACGTCAATCCTCAACTACGTCTGAACACACGTCTGATGTGTCACATCAATCTTCCACTACGTCTGAACACATGACTGATGCATCAGGTCACACCACTATGACTGAACATGCGTCTGATGTATCACCTCAGACCTCCACTACGTCTGATGTATCACGTCAGACCTCAACCACGTCTGAACATTCGTCTGATGTATCACGTCAGACCTCAACCACGTCTGAACATTCGTCTGATGTATCACGTCAGACCTCCACCACGTCTGACGTATCACGTCAGACCTCAAGCACGTCTGAACATTCGTCTGATGTATCATGTCAGACCTCCACTACGTCTGATATATCACGTCAGACGTCCACCACGTCTGAACATTCGTCTGATGTATCACGTCAGACCTCCATTACGTCTGATGTGTCACGTCAGACCTCCAACATGTCTGAACATTCGTCTGATGTATCACGTCAGACCTCCACTACGTCTGATGTATCACGTCAGACCTCCAGCGCATCTGAACATTCGTCTGGTTTGTCACGTCAGTCGTCGACTACTTCTGAACACCACTCTGATGTTTCACGTCAGTCCTCCATTACTGAAAACATGTCTGATATTTCACGCCAGTCCTCCACTACATCTGAACATCCGTCTGATATATCACATCAGTCCTCCGGTATCGGTTATGACTTGGGAGATAAGACCAGATCTGTCTATAGCACCGAGAAAGAAGATTTTTTGCGATCTGGCCAGCGCGAGGCTCCCAGACCCGTGTTCCCCAGAAAAAGCTCCGCCTGCGAACACTTCAGGGGTCGCAAAACCTCCTGCTGTTCGACAGTTACAACTCCTGATAATACCGATGTATCCCCAGGTGAGGTTTACGACAGGAGGCTTTCGACGTCCTCAGGTATATCGTCTCTGTCAGAAAACAGTGCAAGGAAGTTTTCCTCTTCCTCAGCGTCTTCGTGTGTGTCAGATGACTGGGAGTGGTTCCCCGGTCGAAGGAAAAGTCTTAAGGTTCAGTCAGGTCTTCCAGAGCACAAGACTGTCATTTCCTCCTCCACGGACTTTGGGGAAGGGTGCGAACTGCGCAGACTGTCCAGCTCTAGCGCTGCCTCCATGCAGAGTTCGGGCATAGGTTCCATGTCTGGCACCTCGTCCGAGTCAAATGCGAGTGATGGACGAAAGTTTTCAGTTAATTCAGGGGTTTCCTGTCTTTCCAAAATTAAGGAGGAAACTAAATCCGTCACCGACGTGGGCTTGAGCATATTCGAATCCTTCGAGGAAAAGCGTCCCTCGAGCGAGTTTGAGCCTTCAGCTAAGGAAATTTGTCATAGTATCACGCTTGACGGAAAGCGTCTTAGTCTTCCCCCTCCGGTGTGGCCCCGGGGGACTATTCATGAGGTGGCCAGCACCACTTGCCAGAATGCTTCCTTCCTTTCAACACCCAGCTTTGAGCCACACCTTGCAAACGAAACCCCAGAATTTCTTGTGAAGAGAGCAGAAATACTGAAGACCACGGTGTCGCGGACGGATTTGATGCTTGACTTACCTTTGATCTGTCCCTCCACTTGTCCTCTCAGGAGAAAGGATTACCAGGGCAAACATGGCTATTACCACGCTAACGCAGGCGACGACAGCGCCCATGAAGATCACGCTCACGACGATCTGAGCCACGACATTATCGCCAGCGACGATCTAATCCACGACGATTGTTCCCGCAACGCTCAAGTCAGTAACATTTCCAGCAACGTCGACGCTAAGGAAAGAAGGAAATCTTTAAACTTTGTGCCCAGACTCCTGAAACCAAAACCCAAAGCATCTCGCCTGAGAAGATTAACTCTACACACGTTTGAAAACATTGCCGAGCAGTGGAGGCAGCAGGCTGGACCTAACACAGTTGATGAGTTGTGTAGCAAAACTGAATCTTTTTCTAACTTAGTCAGAACAGAGTCTCCTTCACAGGACCTGAGCTGTGAAATAGAATTCAGACGCAACCTAGTACGCGACCTTGAAAAGCTAGAAGCAGAAATAGAGGCCGAAGTGCAAGCTTTGGGGTCAGAGTGTACACAGACTAAAGATGATGAGGACTCCGTCTCCATAATAGTGGTGTTTGATAGTAATGAGACAGTAGCATCGGCAGGTAGCATGCCTCGCAGCGGCTCTGGCAACTCTGGTAAGGACGACGACGTCTCTATTGATTCAGACACCGAGGTTATACACGCTCCCAAGGAGACCCTGCCATCAAACTTACTTCATTGTGATAGACTCTGTTCCAGTGCTGACGACGAGCGAGCAGATAGATATGAGTATCCCAAGCAAGACACTGAAGAAAGTCCAAATAAGAGTAAGCGGGAAATCGTATGTGAGACTGATGTATTCACTCTGCTGTCGGATTCAAAGTCTCTTCCAGATTTGCTGGAGACAAACAAGTTCAAGGTTCTGGAAGCTGCTACCCCCAGTGACGCCTCTGTCAAGAGACGAGGAAGCTTCAAGTCAGTCAAGAGTACAGAAACCATAGTCAGCGTGGAGGAGATTGTTCCTTGCAGCAACTACGAGTTTAGTGAAGTGACTTTCCCAGCCATGGTGGGCTTCGATGAGCTGGAGGAACAGGAGGTTATTGAAAACTTCTCGGACGAAGACCTCGTCTCAGATGCCGACTTCGAAGCCTTCTCAGAGACTGAGCACGACACAGACATGGACAACCTCAACCTAGAGTTATTTGAACCAAGTGTTACAGATGACAAAGTCGACGGGAAGATGTTGTCAAAAAGACAGAGAAAATTAAGGAAGCTGAGAAGGAAATTCAGCTTCAGTGCGACTGAAAAACAATCTAAAGACATCAAGGATACAATAACCACGTCTCTCAAGCGCTTCAAGAACGCAAAACACAAGATAGAGAAGCTGGTCAACAAGACGTTAAGAAGTGACTCGCTAATATCCCAGTCCTCGGTGGAGTCCCTTCATGGATCCCCGTCCATCCCAGTGGAGTCCATCCTGCCAGGGGGCCACTCCTCCGTCACCAGCCATAAGAAAAACTCCCTGGAACGCAGCGATTCGTATTCCTCCAAAACTTCGATGAGTCGGAACTCTGGGACTCTGGAGTGCACGGACTCCAAGAGTTCAGATCGTTGTGGGTCTGTAGGGGGCGTTTCTCGCAACACCTCTCAGTCCTCGGACAGTCCTTGGGACAAGGGGGACTCTGGCCACCAGGACGGTCATGAGTCCATTTACTCCTGGTCAGATGCTGATAGTGACTTCGAGTACGTGGCCGGGGAGCCTCCCAACGCGGCGGCCATGTACAAGGAAGTGTGCGGAGTGAACACCAGTGAGAAAGTTTGTCCACTCACGCCACTGCCCACTCCCTACGGCCAGCATCTCCTGATCCACACTAAAGGTAAGTGACATGATCTTTGTTGCACATGATACGGACACTAGAGGTAGGTGACATGATCTTTGTTACACATGATACGGACACTAGAGGTAGGTGACATGATCTTTGTTACACATGATACAAACACTAAAGGTAGGTGACATGACCTTTGTTACACATGATACAAACACTAAAGGTAGGTGACATGACCTTTGTTACACATGATACAAACCTAAAGGTAGGGACATGACCTTTGTTACACATGATACAGACACTAAAGGTAGGTAACATGACCTTTGTTACAAATGATACAAACACTAAAGGTAGGTGACATGACCTTTGTTACGCATGATACAAACACTAAAGGTAGGTGACATGACCTTTGTTACACATGATACAAACACTAAAGGTAGGTGACATGACCTTTGTTACACATGATACAAACACTAAAGGTAGGTGACATGACCTTTGTTACACATGATACAAACACTAAAGGTAGGTGACATGACCTTTGTTACACATGATACAAACACTAAAGGTAGGTGACATGACCTTTGTTACACATGATACAAACACTAAAGGTAGGTAACAATGACCTTTGTTACACATGATACAAACACTAAAGGTAGGTGACATGACCTTTGTTACACATGATACAAACACTAAAGGTAAGTGACATGACCTTTGTTACACATGATACAAACACTAAAGGTAGGTGACATGACCTTTGTTACACATGATACAAACACTAAAGGTAGGTGACATGACCTTTGTTACACATGATACAAACACTAAAGGTAGGTGACATGACCTTTGTTACACATGATACAAACACTAAAGGTAAGTGACATGACCTTTGTTACACATGATACAAACACTAAAGGTAGGTGACATGACCTTTGTTACACATGATACAAACACTAAAGGTAAGTGACATGACCTTTGTTACACATGATACAAACACTAAAGGTAAGTGACATGACCTTTGTTACACATGATACAAACACTAAAGGTAGGTGACATGACCTTTGTTACACATGATACAAACATAAAGGTAGGTGACATGACCTTTGTTACACATGATACAAACACTAAAGGTAGGTAACATGACCTTTGTTACACATGATACAAACACTAAAGGTAGGTGACATGACCTTTGTTACACATGATACAAACACTAAAGGTAGGTAACATGACCTTTGTTACACATGATACAAAGAATCATTTATAAATTTAGGTATGATGCAACTTGTGTAAGTCTCTCTCTCTCTCTCTCTCTCTCTCTCCCCCTCTTTCGCTTTTATCCGTCTGTATATTTATCTTCTGAAAAACCATAACCACAAGTGTGGTCACCAAGACAACCACAAGTGTGGTCACCATCCCCAGAGTTGTGGTCACCATAACCAGAGTTGTGGTCACCATAACCAGAGTTGTGGTCACCATAACCAGAGTTGTGGTCACCATAACCACAAGTGTGGTCACCATAACCACAGTTGTGGTCACCATAACCACAGTTGTGGTCACCAAGACAACCGCAAGTGTGGTCACCATAACCACAAGTGTGGTCACCAAGACAACCACAAGTGTGGTCACCATAACCACAAGTGTTGTCACCAAGACAAGTGTGGTCACATAACCACAGTTGTGGTCATTGAGAATCAACGTTGTACATCTTAGAGCTCTAGGTTTGTTTTTTATTCATCATGTTAGTGTTGGTTCCACTGACCTGTGGGTTTTAGGCCACACACACACACACACACACACACACACACACACACACACACACACACACACACACACACACACACACACACACACCACACACACACACACACACACACACTGACGTTTATCCAAGTTTCCCTCCGGCACTGGAAAAAGTTCTGCTGGAAACCCTCGGCGGATACGGAATTGCAGCTAGGTAACCAAGCGAGAACCAGGTAGTGGAAGGACAGGAAGACTGGGAGGGAGAGTGAGGGAGCGAGGGAGAGTGAGAGATGGAGGGAAAGAGAAAATGAAGAGAGAGAGAGAGAGAGAGAGAGACAGAGACAGAGACGAGAGAGAGAGAGAGAGAGAGAGAGAGAGAGAGGAGAGAGAGAGAGAGAGAGAGAGAGAGAGAGAGAGAGAGAGAAATAAAAGAAAAAAGAGTGAGAGATATTAACTCAACAGTATAAAAACTGGTGGTAATGTGTCAGCACTAGGGCTCCACAGGTAGAGCTCAAAATACTACATCTGAAAATTCTAATCCAACCTTTTTGGCCACTGCAGAAGGAACAGGTTATTACCCAACAACGAAGCAAGCCTTATACCTGTCAGCTTCACTCCTACACCTAACAGTACACTTGACATCACTATTCCAACACCTGCCGGTATATCTGGCAGCAGTGATCCGTCTGCCGACCCCGAGTCAGGTTTTTCTCCGCCAGAGATTGCTGACCGACACTGTTCCTGAACAAATGTCAGGCCAAAGCACGAGCAGCAGTGATAAGTCAGGTAGAGCTAGACGTGGGAGAGGACATGGAAGAGGACGTGGAAGAGGTCGTGGAAGAGGACGTGAAGAGAAAGAAGCAGCCACCCACAGCCATCTCACTTCCCGCCAACACAGCCCCAGGAAAACGCCCACCAAGTACATAATCATCAGGCTCACCAGCAGCAGAACATAGAGGAATCAGCTGCTAAATCAGCAGTGAAATACAAGAACTGCAGGAAATGGGAGACCAGCCTCCCAGGCACCTAAAAGTTACTCCCGCTGTCATCTAAGGGATCACGCTGCTGATAACTGCCCGTAAGATATCAGGTGCAATTACTGTCACAAGAGGGGACATCAAGAACTGTCGAAACAAATGGGAATTTGACAGACAGGATCACCAGTTTTTTAGAGATTTATTCTGGGAACAAACCAGTAGGATTTCAGAACTGGTAGTTTTGTGTCTTATACTAGATTACAGAGCTACATCCCAGCGTCTGCCCGGGTATCCTACCTGTCTCAAGGGCAACCAAGGTTCCTTACCCATCAGCTCAAGCTGAACACAAAAATGAGGAACCAGCATCCTTTCTGCCAACATTAGAGATTTCATTACCAGTGTTGGGGAGCTGACACAGTTTCATGAACATTCAATGTCCTGACATAATCACATGGACGACAGGACAACGGGAAATTTTGCTAGAATTGCTGGCTACACCTCGTGGATGAGACGAGACAGGCAAGGTCAAGGAGGAGGCGTTGCTGTATGCTTTTCTAAAAGTGTATATGCCCAGCTCATTGATGTTGCTATTCCTAGTCACTTGGAAATGATGTTCTTCAGCTATGCATAAACTCTGGTACTTCTGTACTAGCATGTGTGATGTACAGACCTCAGTGACAGCAAGCAACCCCCATCAACTTTCTGATGGAAAATTTAGATTCTCTTCTGCTTCAGCACAAATGTCTACATATAATTTTTGGTGACTTCAACAAACATCTTATACAGAGGGATTTTAATGAGCTCATTGAAGTGTTTAACATGAAAAAGCTTGTTGACTTCCCTATTCATATCTCTGACTCTATCCTTGACCCAGTAGTGAGTGATCTGTCTAAAGGCATAGTCACTTACCAAACCCTTGGCTATGTTGGACCATCTGACCACAAGGCTGCCTTTACGACACTGAAGATTCCAACAGAACAAAGGGAAGAATCAACACACACACACAACCTGGCTGTGAGAAAGAGGAAACTAGTCAGCCCTTTGCTCGGAGCTTGCTGCCTCCGATTGAAATGCTCGTCTCCAGGGTGACGATGATAACTAAGTGAATGCCTTCACTTTATCTCCAAGCAAATATCTCTCTCATTGACAGTATGGAACGAAGCCTTTATATCAGCCTTGGTTCTGCTTTCGTTGTCGAGAGGCTGCTTCTGCAAAGTACAAGCTTGGAGAAGGTATAAGAGACATCCCAACCTTCACAGGGAAAGCCTATCGGCAAATGGAAAAAGTCCGAAAATGGTCCAACTCTAGGTGGGAGGCTGACACAAAATGAAAACCGGAATCAAGTAGAGTGGGCTTCCAAACCTGGTGATCCTTGGTCACGGACCAACGAGGTTATTCACCTGATGAAATTGTTCCACCTTTAAATCGGCAGGATGGAACCGTCTCTTCTAGTAGTCAGGAGAAAGCTGACCTCTTTGCTGAACACTTTGCTGCCGAGATGCCAATTCTTGATCCATCAAATGGACTTCCTTTACTAGCCGCAAGAACTGTGTTAAAGTTGTCAAGGGAGACAATAAGGCAGGATGAAGTGTATCTTCTTAAATCCCTGGACCAAGATGAGGCTGTGGGCCCAGATTAGGTGAGCCCATGATTGCTGAGTAGATGTGCAGACGAGTTAGCGTTACCTCTTAACTCTCATCCATCACTGCTGCCTAGCACAGTGTAAATGGCCTTCTCTATAGTAAGAGGCAACTGTAGTCCCTGTTCACAATAACAAGCGAGGGAAAAATAGCAACTACAGACCAGTATCACTCCTATCAATCTCAGGGCAGATGACAGCATATTTTGACCATCACTCGCTGCTTTGTGACCGTCAACATGGCTCCAGAAAAGGTCACTTTGCTGATGATCGGTTACGCTCTCTTCTATGTGACACCAGTCACTGGATTACTCGAAGATCAGCTGTGTAGTAGCACAGGACATTACTGGTGCTTTTCACCGAGTGTAACACCAGGAACTTCACCATCCTTCTAACACTTCATCGTCCTTCTAACACTTCACCATCATTCTAACACTTTTCACTATACTTCTAACGCTTCACTATCTTTCTAACACTTCACCATCCTTCTAACACTCTTCAGCCATCCTTCTAACACTTCACCATCCTTCTAACACTTCACCATCCTTCTAACACTTCACCATCCTTCTAACACTCTTCAGCCATCCTTCTAACACTTCACCATCCTTCTAACACTTCAGTCATCCTTCTAAGACTCTTCACCATCCTTCTAACACTTCACCATCCTTCTAACACTTCACCATCCTTCTAACACTTCAGTC